CATTTCCCAATTTGCACTCTGAAAACTATTAATCTTACAGCTCCCCAGTAGTTATTCTCCACTTAGTCCCAGAGAGTTTCATCCTGAACACGTGGCCAGTTAAAAAGCCAAATGACCTCATGAAGATTTCTTGAGCTCATTTTCTTTTCTCCTCCCTTCCTGTACTCTGATCCACAAATGGCAGTTGTCTTGACCTCTCTTTCCTCAGCTCAGTAAGACTGTTGTGCTCTGCTTCCTTCTTTCTCTGTGCTGGGGATCAGTAAACACCCAAAAGTAGAAAGTCAGGGCAGTGATGGAGCTTGCCTGGTATTTCTCCCTTCTCTCAGGGATTATCATTCTATATTGTCTATGGTTATAATATGTCCCTTCCAAAATTCAGTTGTTGTCAATGTGGTAGAATTAAGTAGGCTTTCTAGCAGGTGATAAGACCAGGAAGTTTCCTCCTTTGTGAAGGAGATTAAAGCCCGCATAAAAGAAGCTTCCCACTGTTGTAACTAAAAAATGAGGCAGGCTCAAAAGTTTAAAAAGCGCTTTATTTTAGCTGGTACCCAGCGGCAACACATGGCACAAAGTGCCGAAGTGCGCACTGAAGGCGGGGAGCGTGGGCTGGGGGGAACAACTCGGGAAGTTCAAAAAGTCATGGCGTCTGTTGAGACTAAATATGGTTATAGGTCTGGAGTGGGCTTGGGAAACAGAAGTCACGTTGGAACTCAAGGGTGGGATGGGGACTTCAGGAAACAGTTGTTCTGTGAGACAAAGCACATATTGGAACTCAAGGATGGGATGAGGGGCTTGGGAAGCAGGAAGTCATATTTTACAGCAGCTGACATGGTTCACTAAGAAGGTGCATACAGAACAGGATGGTGGCGCTTTGGTCAGGTTGTAACACCCACAGTGTTTAGCCTTCTTGTCCTTCTGCTTTCCGCTGTGTGATGACGCAGTGATCCTCCTCTCTTCTCTGCAGCAACAAGGGTATCCTCTTGGAAGCAGAGAGCAGCCCTCACCAAGCAACCAAACCTGCCTGCGACTTAGGCTCGCAGCCTTCAGACTGTAAGAAAGTGTGCATTCTAGGGGGCCGGGGAGATGGCTCAGTGGAATAAGTGCTTCTCTGGCAAGCGCAAGGGCCTGAGTTCAATCCCGGGTTCCTTGAGGAAAACAAACAAACAACAACAACAAAAATCTGCTTGGTTATT